CCCCAATGTTCCTCAGAGAAGGAATAACTCGCCGAGTTTTCCAGTCTCTGTGGCTCGTGTTTCAGCTTTCCCCATGTTCGATTTAGTTGGCACAGGCCAAATACGCCAAAAAACGGTGTATTTGGGGGAAAACTGGTTCTGGCTCCTGCCCGTAACATCTGCAGGAACGGGCAGGCCTCTCTACCCTCGTGTACAGTTCAAACCCAAGCTCGTTAAATATTTATACCTCGTACCGTGGGTCTTATATCTGTACAAGCCCTGTGACAGCGCAAGTGTTTTCAAACCCTGCTTGGCCACGGTTTCCAGACGAACCCTTCCAAGTGCTCTTTTACCCCTGCAGTAACTCTCGCAGCAGCCGCCTGCCTGCGGAGGTATGTAACGGAGGGACAGAAATAGCAGGTTTTTTTGGGACCAAGTCCCAGCTGAGGCTGGAGGCCAGAGCGTAGGGGTTACTGCAGTTAAAACCCTGCATTTACTCTACGCGGGCAGGAGAGATTTTTATGTATTTTTAAAAAACACGCGAGTCGAGCCTCCACCCCTGCAAGGCAGCGCACCAAAGGCCTGATTCTCCTCGTGCAGTGTTAGCCCTTGTAGGTTGTTGCAGAGGGTGTATAAAATCCTGCCAGGGAGGGCTGGATTTTAACCTGCAATAAATAGAGAAACAGCCCCTCTGTCGTGCCGGGAAGGACTCCCCGTGGGGACCGGGTACTCGCTTGGCAACAAAGCTTGAGATTACGTCACCTCCCGCAAAGCACTGATGTTTATTGTAAGTGCCCTTTCTGATTCCCTTTGAATTCCCCTTCGTTGTTGCTCGAGTTAAATCCATCTGTTCGCCTGGCGTCTTGGAAGGAAACGGAGCACGTGGTGCTGCTGCTGCGGGCTGGCGTCGGCTCTCGGCAGCCACGAAGCGAACGACGCTGCTGGCAGGTGCTGCTGGCTTTTGCTGTAACTCCCGGTTCCTCCCTCTGCTGAATTGCCTCCAGCTGCCAAAGGACTTATCCACCCCCAGACCACGGGTCTGGGTGCTGTTTGTAGTACCGAGTTATGACAAAAGTGTCTTTTTTTTCTTTTCTAGCAAAAAGGAACCAGTGCTGTGTTTTCGCCCATCTTCAGCCACCCTGCAGGCCCTGACTGCTGCCCTGGGGGGCAAAGCGGCGCGGTTCCCGTTCGTGGGGGACGGTGTGGGCAGTAGGTACCTGGTTCCTGCATGCGCAGAGTTTTTTGGGGCTGGCGGCTGTGGTGTGGGAGGGAGGTGTGACACCAGAACTGGGTTGAGCAGAGCAATGATTACCGAGATCGTTGGGTTTTTGGGGTATGTGGCTCATCGGGAGAGGTGGTGGGAGCTGGGTCTGCCTTCCTCTGGGCAAGAGGAAGCTGAGGTGCATCTACCAGCAGCCTGTGGCTTCTGGCCGAAGATGACGGAGCCAGTTTCTTCTCAGATGCAAGGGGCAACAGCCCCAAGCTGGGGCTCGGGAGCTTCAGGCTCCTCGTCTGTGAGGGTGGCGTCACCCTAGACAAGGTGACAGCGAAGTTGGAGGCTCTGCCCTTGGGGAATTGCAGGACTCAGCTGCACAAAGCCCTGGATGCCCATGGCTGGGGCCGGCGTTGGTCCATGGGGGCTGGAGAGGGGATGCTGGGGTCTGTTCCCCGCGCTGCCACGGCTGCCCAGGTCCTGCAGGACTCTTGCTTTCCCAGCCTGCCCTGGCTGTTGCTTTTTCAGGAATGCAGATACCACCTTGGTTGCAGGAGTCCCTGCAACTCCTGTCCAGAGCTGCCTCTGCGTTGCTGAGCCTTTTGGTGAACGGGCGCACGCGGGATTTAGAGGGTTGCAGGTTTTGGATGCAGTGGGTAGAGATCTTAGTGGAGGAACCGTGAGAGAAGCTGTCTGCTCTGGGTCGGCTGGGGGGTTACGGGCTCCCTCTCAGCCTCAAGGCCATGGGCAAGCGCAGACTGCGTTTAGCGCCATGTTTACAAGCTAACAGACACAAGTTTGCTGCTCAGAGCCATGATTTCTTGTGTCCGCTGGGCTGCTGATGACTGTGCTGGCTTCCAGGTGGCGTGGGGATGCGATTTACTTACTGGCTTGTGTGCTTTGCGTCCCGATTATGTCAGAGGTAGCTTATCTCCTCTTACAGCCTGGCTGCAGAGGTCAAGCAGGGCCCTCCCCCTCAGCCCTGGAGTTTCTCCATCCAGGTTGAGATGTTGTCTGAATTCTTCCCCTTTGTCACTGATCCTGGGTCACCCTCGACAACCCTGCCAGAAATTTTCCCTGATTTAGGGTGCTGTAGGTGTGACTGTGGCTTGATGGGTGCAGATGCTAAAGGGGAACGACTTGCGTGGAGCTGCAGGTAAAACCAGCGGGAGGAACTTAGGGCTGGCTCAAGTTGCACATCCAGAGTTAGCAGGGTCCAGGGAAGCCTCATTTAACCCAACGCTGTTCTTCAGCCTGTAAAACAGGGGTACCCAGCTCAGCGGGGTGCCAAAATCATGCTAATGTCTCGGTAACGCCCTGAGAACGTATGAAAATGAGCTTTGAATGAAGTTGCCTGTTTGGGATAAATATTTGATGTGCACAGCGTGAACAAAACGGCCCTGTCCTGGCGTGTTTTCAGCTCTTTTTCTTTCCGTTTCAGAGCACAATGTTCCTGGTCGGACTCTCGGGTGGAATCGCGTCAGGGAAGAGCACCGTGGTGGCCGTACTCCGGGAACTGGGCTGTGCCGTGATTGATGCCGATGTTATTGCCAGAGAGGGTGAGTTTTGCATAGTTGATCTTTCTCCCTGAGGTTCCCCTGACAACTGGGATTGATGCGGGGAAGCGCAGACGGCAGAGGGTGCTCTGGGTACATTAGATAAGTGTTTCCCTCCCATTCCCCAGTTGATGAGGCTGCGTGGAGCAGCTGTCTCCGGGGGAATTGGAACTGGGATATATATTTAATAAAAAACAACAAAGAAAAGATCATGTCCTAATAAACACCATGGGGAGATCTTGCCCTGAGATTCCCTCTCCTGGAGCGCAATGCTTCCCAGCTTTGAAAGCCAACTCTGGGCAAGATAAATGCAGTTCTCTGTAAAGCGTGTTCCCTCGGCTGCTCTGACGTGCCCCCTAAGCCCCAGGACACCCATCCTGTAGCGTGGTTACGTTAGGTGGGATCACCAACACCTAGCTTGAAAGAGAATTTCCCTCTGTGCTGGATGTCGCTTGGTTGTAAATACCGAGAGACTGGTCCACAAAATGACTCGTGCCTTAATGCGCTCAAAAAAAAGAGGCTCCAAATATCCCAGATGAGAGGGAATTCGGTCTGTGCTTCCGCACAGCACACCTGCCTCTCCCTGCTCTGGAAATGTGCCGTCCTGGCTACAGAAAAGCCCCAGAAATCCAGATCTGTTCCCTCAGCAGGACTGGAGCAAACCCTGCTCTCTCCGATGACCTGCACGATGCAGGATGAGATGTGAATCCTGCCACGCTGCCGGGATAACGAGGAGAGCAGCGCTCGCTCCGGGAAGGGCTGCTGATTTTGTATGCGGAAGGTTTTGGGTCTGCAGCTGAGCGGTGGTGCAGGCGGTGTCATTTTGAAGTGCCTGCGCTTTTCTGTTTGGTGAAGAACTTACCGTGTAGCCACTCAAAGCTGTGATGCTCTTAACATTTTATTGCACTGTAATTCCCCTCAAGGTGTGGAAAACTTGCTGGAGGTGCTAAAAGCCCTCAGAGACGATAGGAAAACACTACAAATACTCCGTGTCGGTTTTCTACCAATCACTTAATTTTTCTCTGAGTCCTTTTTTTACATGTGTTTATTTACTATATGGATTTCACCCATCCTGAAACTACCTCAATGTGAAATTCCACAGGAGAAAGAAATTGGTCTTAAAAGACTTTTATTAGGTTGGCCTGAGGTTACAACCTGTGGCAATGTTCCTGGATTTTGCCGAGAAAATTATATACGGTCTGTCATGCTCTGTGGTTAGCCTCAGCTTGATCTTAGTTACGGTTTTATTACAGCATCCTTTTTGGTGGTGATTTTTTAGTGGCTTTAAAATTATACGCTCGTGTAACGTCGGAGTCCCTGCAATTACTTATTCGGAATTGATCTCTTAGAAGGTTTCCATGTTCGTTCTCGCAAAGAATTTGGTGACTAAGGCAAAAGACAGTAAAAAAACCCTTAATAGCAGCCAGAGCCAACTTGTAGCAGCCAGGCTGTATTCACCTAGCGCTGAAGTTTTCAGCTAAAATAAACCTGACGCTGGACCCCGTCCCTTTAGGATTTCCCTGCTCGACTCCTGGCCCTGCAGGCAGTGGGAACTGGCCCAGGTTGCCTTGGCTGGTAGCCGTCAGCGAGTCCTCCCACCCGCCCTGCTGACTTCTAACCCCGAGCAGCAGCACGCACGAGGAGGGTTGTGGCGCTGAATTAATGTTTGCAGGATGCTTCGATCTCTCGGGTGTCAGCCCTCAAAGGGACCTTGGGCCGAGAGGGTTTTTTTTTTGCAGACGCTTTCCCGCAGCACTGATGCCAGGTGTCTGCCGGGCTGCGGCGCTGAGCCGCGCCGGGCTCGGTTCAG